CCCCGGGGCCGGGGGGGCGCCCAGGGGCGGGCGAGCCAGCCACAAGTGCAGCCCGCGGCCGGGACGGGGCCAGCGCGGCCCCCGAGCCCCAGCAGCCGCAGGGCAGCGCGGCTGCGAGAGCCGAGCGGGGGAAGGAGAGAGAAGGCGAGAAAGGAGTCCCCCCTCTCTTTTCTGGTGATCTCCCCTCCCGGCTTGAAACAAAAGTAGAGGTGGAAACTGAGTGGGCAGGATGGTAACATTTGCTGCATGTAATGTGAATTGCAATTATGGAGCGAAATCGCTGCGAGGAGACATACCCGGCCCGTTCTTACGACAAGGCAGCTATTTGACTATCTCATTCTTTGTGGTTAGGTGAAATTCCTTCTCTGCTTAGGTAACAGCTGCAGTCTGATGGAAAAAATCCTCAAATGTTATGCGCTGGTGCTAAACAGATTCTGCTAATTAACAACTCCTATTGACTCTACCTTTCATAATACTCTTTAAAATGGTAATGAATACCCTCAAACAAGGTGACATCTCATTCCAAAGCAGAAGAGTCAGTTAACCAAATGAAGTCTTGCAAGGGGAGTTCAACTGCTTGTCCTTTACCATGAATGCTAACGTGATCCAGTTAGAAAACTGTTTATGTGCTGTACACATACCCGTTTTGAGTGCTAGTTCTGGGCAATAAACGCCAGGGAATGGAAAACAGCAACTGCTTTCTTCATTTACTGAAATGAAAGAAATAGCTTGCTCCAAAGGCTGACTGCATCTAATTGAAATAATTGCAGAATGTTATTTTGCATTATGCGGTTAGACTGATACCTGAAAACAAATGCAGCTGAGACATCAATAATTTGCATATCACAACAGAACTGAAAGTGATCTGTGATTAATATTCAGCCAATTAAAAACTGAAGACTTTAAAATGTATATTCTCTTAATTATTGAGCCATTAACAAAGTACTGTTCACATAAAAGGGGATGTGTATATAAAGGGCCCAGTTTAAAAGGATTTGCATATAGTTTAAGCTGAATTTTTCAAATGCTATTTAAATAAACTAATGAATTAGAGAGCAAAGGTCTAGAATGAAATTAATTTAGGAAGATAGCTGGTTTATAACTATTTTAGCAGCAGGCACAGAAATGCAGGTGTAAAGATCAAGATGCCCGTTTTGTTTAATCAGCAACCTTATCTGGATATTAAACTAATTCCTTGCTTATTTAGCAGGTGAAAGAGCATATTGGCAGTTTCAAAGAGATCACTACTCCCACCACATGCAAGCAACTACTTAGAGACTGAATTAAACATTAAACAAGAAGCATAATAAAATATTGTATTTTAACCAAGTAAACTGTGAAATAAATATTTGAGAACTGAAATTACACTCTAAGTAAATAATTCTTGATGTTTCCATTATAAGTGGCTATTACCAATGGTGTATGTTTATGGTGTTGTAGAACTTATCTGAGAAGGAAACTTAGTTATGCAGTACAATTTCATTATTAGGGTTTCAGTATGTCATATATTTATATTTCTAATTTAGAGTCACTAAAAATAACTCTTCCTCCAAATCTTAAGTTTCTAAGCTATTTTCCCTAGCCTACATCATGCCAAACTAACTAATATTTAGGCTTACATGTCAGGACCAGAGTCCAAAGCCAACTGAGGAGAATTTTAAGGTATAACATAAGCAAGGTCAAGACTGGGATCCAAATGGAGATGTGCTTCAGGAATAAAACACTTTAAAGGGTTATATCCTGGAATCTCTTGGTTGCACTCATCTTCTGAGATCCAGCTTGAAGTTCTATCAGTATCAGGAGAAATTTTCTGTATAGGCTGATGGTAGTGTGTTAATTGGAAGACAGCAGAGCTAGACAGGGCAAGTTGGAGTACCTGGTCTGGCTCCCTGAAATCTGCAAGATTACTTCAGGCTTCACACCATGCCCATTTAATGTCATCTCTAACCTTTTCTTAAATTTCCTACTGTGATGGAACCTCATTCATCTCCTTTGATTTTTTCCCCCTATCTGTTTGCCACAGCAGCCTGTATTTCTTCCTTCTTCAGCTTAGCAAAAGGAGAGCAAAAGCTATCAGGCAGATAGATTCATAGCAGGATTTTCTGCAGAGAGAAGTAGCTGAAGAAAAGGTAGAAATGTGACATATACTACTTCCCACCCAAGCAGACACACTCAGGGTGGCATTCAGTGTCATAACAATTAGCCTGTTGATAATGCCATTACCATAGCTAAGCAGAAGGTCTTGGGAGAGAAAGGCACCTTTTACTCCTGGTTACTGGCATTAATCTTTAAATCTGCTCAGAATCTACAGAAGCCTGTTTATATTTTATTTCCTTTCACATTCTTGTGATATCTTCTAAGCAATACTTTTGTTTTAAACACACAGACATGCTTGGTCACCTACCTCTCCCAATTTAATTCTGGGCTGATGCAGGAACTTGAGACTGAAATTGAGCTTTATGTGTGTTCAAAGTCTGTCAGGAGAAAAAGCTCCCTGTAACAGAGTCATCAAGATGCAGAGGCCAGTTGAGATGCTGAGTCTACTGCTCACAGCAGGAAACCTTGGAGAGCATTTTCCTCAAGCCACTCAGCACACATGCAAATGGGGCTGCAGCTGAAGGCAAGGACAGTTCTGCACAATAACTTGCTTTGTTTTTTCATCCACAGTAATTTTCTGAGTGAGAGATGAACTGACAGGAAACAGGAGCTAAACATCCTACTCATTCCTGAGCACTTACAATTACAATTTAAGGTGCAGTGCCTGAAATCAGTCTATATATGTGCACATAAGTGGCAGAGGTGTCTTCCATACATTTGCCATCATCCTACCTTTATGTTACCTATGGATTTGTGTGCATCCCAAACACTTTCTCCAGAGGCACTGCCTTTCACTTTTCTGCTCTCTCTCCAGTTTGTCTGTGGTCATCCTGAAAATCAAATAAGGATTAGTCCTCAGGTGTGAGAACTAACCAAAGATGCCTATGACCCACACACCCCTGGCTCTTGAAATCAGAAGGCCAAGAAGAGAAATTGCAATTGCTGTGAGCAGCAGGGGAACACTCTCCTTGGTCATGTGCCAGCATCTCTACTGGTCAGCAGTGAGCAAGGCTTGTGTATCCAGATGGCAAAAACACACCTGGGAGAGAAGCAGTGTGCATACATATGTATTTGGGTTATTCTGTTTGAAAAAGTTCATGCCAGGAGTAGAAATTCTTATAAAAGGTCTCCAGAAATTAATGTGAATCCATTTGGATTAGACTCTATAATTTTATGTAAACACTACATGTTGCATCTTCCTTTTCCCAAATAATGGTAAGAATAGCCCAAGAGTTAATATTTTGGTCCTTCACACAAGGCCCAGGTAAAGAACAAACTGTTTTGATTAAACATGTGGGCAGCTGGTTAATAATTCTTTGAATAGGAAAGCAAAGGTTTGTATGGGCTGTGTGTTGCTGGGGTTTCCCTGGTTAAGCAATTTCAGTTTAATAGGTCTACAACAAGTTTCTTCTTTCATATAGATCAGTAACAATGGTCATGCTCAGAAAACAACATCCAACACAGAAGAATACAGAAATGACTGTGCAGTCTTCTAATAAGGCTTCAATTAATAGGTCATAACCTTTTGAGAAGGAGAAAAACCTCTAAAATCAACCAGTAACTCCACTGAATGTCCACATCTTGTCTATAATTTGCCAGACTGTCAGTCAAAAGTGGGGGAGGAAGAACATCCTTGAAAGCTCTGCACATACTGGAGTGGGTCCCAGCATGTACATCCTTTTAAAGACACATTTCTTTAGGATGTGATAGGAAACAGTGCAAATCTGCAATAGACCAAAGTCAGAAGCACTGTGAGAGAGCACTGTGCTAAATAAAGTGGAAGAAACTGTCAGATATATGTCTCTGCCTGTCTCTATATTATTTCCACCTAACTTTCTCTATTTAATCCAGGGCCTCACCTCAATATGCAACAAGTAACCCATCACCTGCATGCAGGAAACCTGAGGAATCACTGATATGCATGCATCCCTTCCATAGGGATTGCTGGGGGAGGGGGGTAATTCCATCACTTGTTATTCTTTTGCAATAAATCATTGTCTTAAATGCTTGATCAGGTGGCCATTATGCTGGTAGAGGGTTTTCTCAGCAGTTCTCTTTGTAAACTCAGCCCGTGGGATTGTCCAGCTCCCTAACACTGTGCTTGCCAGCGTTCCACAACTGCTGTCAGAGCACAGTGGGCAGGGGTTTAATTTCACTAAGCTGCAAGATGTCCTGGGCTTTACTTACTTTGTTTCTCTGTGCTCATTTACCCAGGGGTTGTTCACCTTCCAGCTCACTGTCAGAGGCTAAACCCAAGCTTGGCCTATTCTCTTGGAACAACCAAAATTGTGAAATCAGGAGGCAGAGAAAATTTAGGAAAATAATTGGTAAAGAACTTACAGGGGATATTTTTCTATAAGGTTTTATGATATAAGGTTAAATACAAAACCTACAAGCAACTGCTCTTGTCCTACTCACCTCGTGTAGAACTGCTCACTAAATGATTTCTCAAGATAAGAAATATATTTAAAATAAGGATCCTGTGCTAGAAAACTCTGACATTATTGAATA